TTAAATACTAATAGTTGTCACCCTGCACAAAACTTTCATATTTCCTTCAAGTGGCAGTACTTTCTATTTTAATTGGAAACAAAATTAGCAAACTAAAAACAATAAACAACTCGGAGATGTGGATCCTCAAGGTCAATATCGACCACTTCAGAGACCCCTTATAGAGCATGATACAATCAAAACATTGCTTTGTTCTTATCAATTGCACCTCTTAAAAGGTTTCATATTTCCTCACCTTTAATTTTAATAAAACGTGACACCTGCACCACGTATACACTTTTCAGTCTAAACTTGAAGATGAAAGTATGGAAGTTTTTGTAATCTGTAAGGTACATTGCCAATTTTCAATTTTTCCTAAAATGTTTAATCTTCTTCCCACAAAGCACAAATAGAAAACTATTCAGTACACTGTTCTGTTGAAATATTAAATTTCACAAAAATGTCTGGTAAGTGACAGAGGAATTTCAGTGACGTGATTGTTGGACATTGTTACCATTGAAATAAAAATTATCCCTACAAGGGTTATCAGTGCAAAATTCGACATTGAAAGATAGCTTTTCGATTCGTTTACACAGGACAATTTCTGCCAGCTCCTGATCGATTCAATTTCCTGTTGGATATATATTGGATCAAATTTCGGGTTGGATATTGGAGGAAAAGGAGTAACAAATGAGACAAACAACAAACAAAATAAGAGGATCATTTTGGAATTGTATTTAAGAAAATGTTACTTATGGCATTTTGTGGAAATTTGAGCTTCGGAGCAAAATCCTTGACGTTTGGAAAATGAGATGGTTTATTGTCAGCAGTTGGATCATTTGTGTGCTGTCATAGAAGACAAGCGCCCATCGCTGGTGAACCAACCATCAAGGAATAATATTCCATCAGGTGAATGCAAATACCTGTATTATGTATTTCCATTCAGAGGAAGTTACAGGAGTTTCGGAGCTCATATCTCACCAGCAGTATTCAGCAGATATTTCTTCACCAGACCTCTTTCGGTCGTTAAACAAGTTTCTTCCCGAACAAGAGTACGGTAATATAAAGGATCTTCGAAGCGGATTACAAAATTTCTTCGACAACAGTTGAGAAGAATTTTAAGAGAAAGTTTGGGTAATATCCAGGACAATTTTCTATTAAGGCTTTAACTTGAGATTGCAGTAATGGACTTGAGCGTAATCCGGAATCATCAGGCACAGGCAAATGCGTATCTATTGCAGAAAATTGCTTCTGTTTTTTTCGACCGGCTGCATTGAAGTTAAAGGTAATTCTTGGATCAGAAACGCTTTCTAAACTCTTTCTGATTATTAGATGGTTTTCGTAATTTCAATGGTAGCTGAGACGTTGATGAACAGCTAATGCTAGTAGCGTCAGCTTGGGTATTTTTTGGGTTTTGGAAAAACTGAGTAATTTTAAAGTTCTGGTTTATTAAGTCTTGCTCTCACTTTTTTTTTCCTTATCACATTCTAATACTGAAACAGTTTTTTTCTATTTTTCTTTCGACATCTGGGGAAAAATGAAAAAAAAAAAAAAGCAGAAGTAAAAATAAAAGCAGAAAATAACTATTATAAGAAGTATTGAGTAAAAAAATTCTTCTTAAAAATATTCGGAAAGTCACTGTTTGAAATAATTTACCTTACTTCTGAAAAAGTGAGTATATCTTAAATCATTGCTTGGAAAATATATGAATTATTAGATCAATACCAAATAATTCAAGAAGAGGGTGATACTCTTTTGTTTATTAAAGTAAGTAAATCAAATTTAAAGACGTAATGAAAATAGCGAAACAATTTCCTTCGGTTTTCCGTATAGCTAAAAATCGGAAAAAGGGCAGTTTTTGATTTCAGAATATCATGTATATTTTTACTTAACTCTAAATCTCAAATAGGTATATTTAAAATAATTAAGTGGTACTCCGTAAATATGTCAACCCTTTCTTCTCAAAAGGTAATAATGTTTAGTTTAATAAACAAATGGTTCGTGTAAAAAAAAAAAAAAAAAAAAAATCGAGTAATTATGCCCAAATCGCCGCTTTTCGAAATTAAAAAGCTAACCTAAATTAACCATAATATGTAACTGTACATACTTTTTTTCTTTACGTAGAATAACAATAACAACAAGCAATCACCAAAAAAAAAAAAAAATCACAAAAAAGATATAAATGTTGCCTAAATTACTACGATTGCAACGGCAGAACAAAATAAGGACTAAGCAATTTGTCGAACTCATCTAAGGCGCCCCCTGTACCTTTACATACGCATCGGCATCACGTATTTTCGTTCACATATATTTACAAGATCAGCTCAACTTATGTCAAAAACTGCAAAAAGCATTAACTGATTAAAATCAAAGTGATATAAATAGTATAGATCTTATGCATGAACTGCAGTTTTTGCAAACTTTTGGAGAAAATGCAGCATCGCCGGTTGTAACTCTGAGCTATATCGTTTTCAACAACATAGCGGTGTGCAGAAGAGAATTTTGGATTTATATCCCTAGATAACACCCCTAGAGCACATTTTGTGCTGTAAGCTTTTGGAGAAATGCAGTATCGCCGGTTGCTGCTGTAATCACAGTTTGAACCTTGTCATAAACTACGCTGTAAATAACAATTTATTCAGTGCAAACTTACTAAATATGTATATTAATTTGTTTTTAATTTTAAGATAATAAATAGTATTCAGCAATATATTTAGCATTGGCTATTATTAAATAATAGCCAATGCGTTTAGTATATTAATTTCGCTTCGCTTGCGGTGTTACTTTTGTATAACATGTTGTTGTTGTTGTTGACTAAGGCTCACTTGTCTGACCTATAGTCAACCCAAGACCACGAAATTCCTTGTGAAAAGGAGCGCAAGATACGCCTGTCGTTGTCAACAGCCTTGATCACATTTCAGTTGACAGTGTGATTTAACTCAATTTCGCCCCCGGCCCGCCAGCGGCCGAGCGGTAAAATCGCTGACCACTGGTAGTTCGGTCCGAGGTTCGAATCCCGCCAACGGGCTGGCTGCATGGGCGTTTTCGTGGTTTTCCCCATGTGTAACGTGTATACGAGACAGTTTGCCTTAGAAAGTCCTCCACGAAGCCATCCCTTCCCTTAGGCAGATAGCCCTAGTGTGCTTTGCCGTATTCTCAATACACACACACACACACAGTTTCGCCCCCAATTTTGATGGAGAGCACCCTAGGAAGACGGGTCCCAGCGTCTCCCATTCCTCTTCCCCTACCATCAACCTTTCAAGAGGACTTCCGCCTCGCTTATTTAGAGTGCCCCCATGCCGCACGGACACATTTACAAACATCCATGTCTTTTCCGGGATTCGAACGCGGGCCCTTCGGCATGGCAGTCAACAACGCTAACCACTGTACCGGTTGGACGGCTTTTTATAACATAAATGAATGTATAATTCTTCAACGAATATGTTTGAGTGTGGTTTTTAGCAAAGCTCAAAATGTTTGCATATTTAGACAACTGATAATATATATATATATATATGTATATGTATTGTTTTTTCATATTATGTTAATAATGTTTCGTTTTAAGTGTTAGTCATAAGCACTGTCCCTTTAATATCGTCACTACATAAAGGCGTTCGCTAGACATTTGCACGACGGCGTCGATTACGCTTGGCGGGAGCCTGCTGACTTAAATTCGGTTTATAAAGCATGATTTAGGTTACTAAATTATTTATAAAATTATTTTGACATAAAATACAATACTATTTAATTATATATTTTAAATTTTATGGTCTTGCCGTCCGGATGAGAAAATGGTTAGTGGCTCTAACTGCCATACCGAAGAGCCCGTGTTCGAATCCCAGAGAAGGCATGGATGCAATTTATTCGTCATTTCATAGCAGGCAATGATGGACCACCTATTAGTTGCCTCCATAATTAAACAAAAAGGGGAAAAAAAAAACAAAAAAACAAAAACACCGCTTTCGGCCTTAGTAGTGGCAATGTCTATAAACGGCTACAACCCGCCATTGGGGGAAAGAATTATGTCTTTGGATAATTTCCTTTCGTAATTTAAATCTTTGTACTGAGAAAATCTAAAGTAGGAAAGGAGAGCTTTAACTTTTCACAGCAGTTAAAAAAAAAAAAAAAAAAGTTCAAAATAAAATTCATAATACCTGCATACTATTTTGGCGTTAAACTTAGTAAAGTACTATATATCAGTTTAAAATAAATTTAAATACAAATATTTCATGCTTAAATATTGATTGAATCTTCATGTAAAGTTCTATAGATGTACACAGCAGATTGCAGATTACAATTTAGGTCAAATAAAATTTAATAAAAAATATTACATTGAAGATCACTAAGGTGGAGGGAAAATATTTGATCAATTTATGCTTCATTAATCCAATAAATTAAATTTATTGCTAAAAACCACTTTTATTAGTAAAGGGTAAAAGTGAAAAATCGGGAAATTCAGTGATCTATTGGGGGAGATGTGACGAAAAACTCGAAGTCTTCCGCTATGACAGGAGAACTGACAGGTCTGTACTAAGATAAATTCAAAGAGATTATTATCAGATTTTAATTATCTGCCGGATTTTATTACTATGATAAATAAATATTATTTAATGCTCTGCTTATCTTAGTTTCGTTCACAAAATTCCGATTAAGATAAATGAGTTAAGCATTTGTTTCTTACGTTTTGCTTTTTTATGCTTTCCTTACAGGCGTATTAATATATTTTATAAACATTTTTCTCTTGAAAAAGCGGGACATTTGTCAGTTGCTCTCAAAACTGATAGGACTTTTATGTAAAATCTATGCTAATCCGAAATTACTTTTTAATTAGTTTTACACAAATGTTTAAAATTTTTAAAACTGTACAACTTTAAAATATATAACTATAATATTATATATATAACTATATAACATTAGCAAATATAAAAATTTATTCTCAGCACAAAAATATCTAAGTCAAATCTAAATCGAGCAATAACGAAAAGCATATTAAAAGTAAGCAAAAATGTATGAAATACCTTAGAATAATATTATCCAAATTCCTCAGGATTTCCTGAATCACAACATTCTATCACACAAAGAAAGTTCACAATTTGTAATTTTAATTAAAAATTTTAATCCTTTATCTACTCGTAAGTTGCAGTTTCACGCAAAAGGCTCAATTATTACTTATTCGGCGCTCGATGTAATGCAAACTATAAATAAAGTTCTTGCGTCTTAAAATGGCAAACACTGGTCTTGCAGCACATGCGTACTAGGTCGCCAAGCTAAAACTGGCTATCCTTGAGGTATTTTTAGAAATTTTTTGAGACTATCTAAAATAACACGAGCTTATGTTTGACCTCAAATTTATTTTTATCACAGATGGAAATAAGAAGATTAAAAATTTTAAGGTCAAATCAAGTTTAACAAAAACTATCAACACCTATTCAGGTTAAGAAAAAGAATTTTGGTTTCTGATTTAGAATTTTTGTTTTACTTCCTTTCATTCTTTATCTTTTTTACTTTACTTTTTTAACATTTCTAACATTTAAGGAGAATCAAAGTGATTATTGCGGTAAAAAGTGTCCCTAAATTTATGCTGTTGCTAAGTGACGATACTTAAATTATTTCACTCCCCTTAAATATTGCACGAGTCTGTTGCCTCAATACAGACTTCATTGTTTTTAAATTGTTTTATTCAGACTTTTTAACAATAGTTCAAAGTTAATGTTGTTTTATGCCCTAAATATCATAAATAAAGCAGAATTCTAATGCTCTACAATAGATGAATGGCAAAATTTCTAACTTCTTCATGCGGTATGTTGTCATCTGCATCCAGAATAAAATTTGAAGGATAACATAAAATTTTTAGGAGCATGTAGATTAAAAGCCTCCCTATATATTTTGTCTTAATTTTGTTCAAGCGGCACAATATGCTTTTCACTATTTTGATATATTTTTGTTTGTGTCATTTCACGTCCAGGTAAGAAATGCAAATATAAACTGTGCTTTTAAAATTAAAACTCATTTTGAGTTGATATTTAGTTTAATTCAAAGTAAAAATTAGATTTCGTGAGTTGGCAATAGTCGGCAATAATGTTTGAGAACAGAAGTGAAATGTTTCTGCGTTTCTTCGGATTTTTTTTAAACCTTTTAATGATAAATTCTTCTTTGAGCTATTAGATTGTAAATCTGAAATTTTTCTTATTTCTGTTTTCACAGCTTCTTTCAAATATATGATTTTATGTACAGTGTTTTTATTTTTTGGGATTCAATACTTAAACAAGTACACCTTTCTTAACTATTTAATATATTACTGTTTCAACTGCTGAGACCGAAGAATAAATTTAAATTTTCTAAAAGTTTTATGGTATATTTTATGTTTTTATTTTTAAAATATATTTTTTTAAAAATTTCTTTGCAATTTTTAATGGCAAACTGTTTTTCAAGGTATAAACTGTAATCGATAGATTTCAGAATGCATTTCTTCCTAGTAAAAAAAGTGCTTGAACACTAACATTTTTTGGTGCTTTTCTGTTAAAGGTGGGTCATTTAACACCTGATATAAATTTTGGCGCGCAATCTAACGAGATGGCAGCAACTTCAACGATATTTAATGCTTTATGGGAATAAAGCACTTGTAATAACAGTAATGTGGTATATAATATATTATTTACAATGCTTAATTTGCGTAATGCTGAAGCTATGTGCGATGCTGAATTATGCACTATGCCGAATTGTGCAATTCTCTAATTTTTTAAGTGAAAAACAGATCATTGTGTACATGGAAAAAACTGTTTTTTCCTATTTAAACGGCGATCTGCTTTCGCTTTAAAAGTTTTTTGTTTTCCAAATGTACACAGCGATTTGGTTTTGCTTAAAAACATCAAAGAATTGCATTAATTCGGCATTGCGCACATTAAACACTGCTCAGCTGTTCATTAACCAATATAAACAGGCTATCACATTTAGAGGTTTTTTCTTTCTGGCCTCCGGTTAACAGAAAAGTACTCACGTTTTAACTCAAATGGTCTATTAGTCTTGAGTAACAATACATGTCATCCACTTAAATGTGTTGTTTCACTTTTCATTTGCTTTTCGGCATTCGATAAAATGCAACATATTTATTTATCATTCAAATTTAATATATATGTTGTAAGGATCTTAAGTTTTACTAACGTTTATTTTATTTTAAATCTTTACTATCACTTCTTATTTTCTACTTCCGGCCAGAATTATAAGCGTGAAGGAGTTTTGCAAAGTTGTCTGGGCGAACGCCAAGTATTTAAGTGTGGCCTTTTTGCCAAGCAGAGGAGAGGAAGCCGTGAGTTCGAAGCAGGCCGCTTACCTTAGAAGTTACGCAGTTGCTACTTTGCCTTCCAGGCCAGAGGTTTTAATCCTCTTGATAATTAAACGTATTGTAGTGTTCACAGTCTCTGTGCTACATACGCTTCTGTTATTATAAGGCCAATCTTATTCTAAAGTTAAATTCGAGTTTAGTTTTATTTTGATATCTTTTAAGTTAGACCCCGAGTGGAGGGTCATTGTATTCCGAAGTACGGAAGTCATTGTATATAAAGAAAAAAAATAAAGGGTTTTGTATACCCTTCGTCTGTATCCTGTCTACTTACTACAATTAGTGAACATAGCTTTAGTAAGCTCTCTGTTCTAGTCAGGTCATTGTATGTTTCCGAAGAAGGTAAGAAGAAACATTGAACCTGATAATGTTATTGATTGACAAACTAAGCTAGGATGTTTTATCCCATTATAATAAGGTATTTCTCCCGCCTTCTTAACATGCCTTCGTGGTGCAGTGGTCAACACGCTCGAATTCGAGAGGTCCGTGTTCGATTCCCGGCTTTCAAAAAAAAAAAAAAAAAAAAAAAAAAAAAAAACTAATATCTCTACAGTGGAGCTGGAACTAAAAGGGTGGTGGATGATGGTTTTCCACCACCAGGCGATTGGGTCCTCCAAACCTAAGTCGCCCTCTAGAAGGAGGAGTATATAAAATATTTCTCCGGTCTTCTTAGCATCCGTTCGGGGTGTAGTGATCAGCAAGCTGGACGCGTATTCGAGAGGTCCTTGGTTCGAGTCCCGGCGAGGGCATTGCTCATTTTTCATATCGCTTGCTTCGAAATAACCTAATAGCTCTAATAACATTATTGGCCTATTGCGGACTGTTCTGAAGGTCGCAGTTTTGTTTCAAGTAACACAAATGTTTATGATTTGGCAATTTTTAAATATTTACTAAAAGTTTATACTCATTAAAAAACCTTTAAAAAAAACGCAAACGCCGCACGACGAAATCTGACGGAAATATTTAAAAGTCTGATATCATGTTTTCTGAAAATCAGGGGGTGTACATAAATTAAAAAGCGAAATATTTAAATGCGAGTTTAACCAAAAATGAAACATCAGTTTAGGAAAAGTTTTCTGATAATTAATGCAGTGGCGTAAGCTCCGAACGTAAGAAGCGCCCATATCTCGAAACGGAATTTCTCCAAAATAAATTAATTTTTCGACATTTTGATAACTTGTATTTGTTAATTAAAATAAAAAAAAATTATTTGATTTTATATTTTATTGCATTGGTAATAATAAAATGTTAAACTCTTTTTTGAGTAAAATAAAGTGTGTTTTCTTCATTCTGATAATTTCTTTCGTATTAATATCTTAATATTTTGAACGAAAGTTGTACTATTATCCCAACACATTTTGTAACTCTACTAATATGAAACATTTCGTTTGCACTAATTATTTTAAGAATAAAACAATAAATGTTTAAAAAGTTCAGAGAAAATTCTGAAAAACTGTAACATTTTAAACTTAGTGTTTTTGTTTCTTATGCTATTAATTTATGTTATTTCAGCGAGTACATACCGTATTCAATTTTAGAAGTGTTCCACAAAACTACTATGGAAGTTTCCAATGACTGCTTTATACTGCGTTTAAAATTAGAATACTAATTCTACTTAATATGACGTTATAATATTAAATTTGTGAAACAATTTATTTATTTATTTATTTATTGGTGAGGAGAATTACAAAGCAAAGTCTAGTCTCAAGCACACTTTTAAACAAAATTAATGAGATGGAATTTTAGCAATGTTTTCGCTTCCCGATGTTTCCATAAGTTTATAAAGTATAAATTACATAACATTCGCTATATTAAGCAATATTATGCAGAAATTAATGCACACACTACAAGCTGATCAACTGCTGCTACAAATCTAAGCAATATCTATATTAACCATACTTGTTTAAAATACTGCTTTTAGTTAAGCTTTAGTTTCCTGATTTAGTCACATAAGCTATACTGAAGAACAATTAATGCAATATGATGATTCTCTGAAAAGGCGTTAGGCAGGAAAAGCAAAATTTGATGCAGTTTAATGAAAGTGATAACTTACACAGGCACCAAGCCATGAACGTTTCAAGAGCAAAGAGATAAGTGACAAAAATGTGTAGTTTATAGTTTAGGGGTTCCTAAATATGCGAATGCTCTAACTAATTTAATGAAACTGATCTCTTTGATCTATTGAATCGGGATACAGTTTGAACTAGAAAGTTATGATGATTTATTAATTTAGAAGTCAAACAACAATTTTTATGAAGAAAGAACGAGTTTGGAAGAATATAAATTAACACAGCATTCAAATAAGGCTAAGAAGAGGCTTATTACTCATCAAAGCTCTCATATATAATGAAAACCACACCTTGAGATGGAATCTGAGGGACTCGTCCTACTCTACTCCTTCCATAATCTCTCACGATGACTTTTGGATTGACGGAATGTAATTAAGGGGACCGCATTCTGTAAAGATTTTATAGTTCAGTTTCCGAAGTTAATAAAAGTCTTGTGACATCAGGATTATTAGAAAGTTTAATTATACTTGATGATTTCATGCAATCAAAAGTGAAGGAATTTCATCTATAAAATTTTGCGCACTGTGAAATGACAGGATAATAAGCCGAAGCATTGTTCCTCAGTATTTGGAGTAAGCTGAACGTAGAGGAACGTATTAAACTGTGTAGCGACTTATCGCTGGGTTCACGAATATAACGACAAAGAGAAGGGTTAAAATACCCTTTTATTCACTTAAAGAAATAATACAGTTGGCCCCTTCTCGGGCGTACAGGGAAACCTCCACTCGAGCTTCAAATCAAGATGAGAAAAATAAGAAACTAAACTGACTTAGCCAAAGCTAGATATAAATACTTAACGTAGTTGGCCCTTAATTTAACTTA